CGCACCCCCAACATCGTCACCACCATGACCCCGCCGGGGACCCCCCCCGTGCGCCGCAGGAACAAACTGAAGCCCCCCGGGACTCCCCCGCCCTCCTCGAGGAAGCTGATCCACCTCATCCCGGGATTCACGGCGCTTCACCGGAGCAAATCCCACGAGTTCCAGCTGGGACACCGCGTGGATGAGGCGCACACCCCCAAGTAAGTGGTGTCCCGGGCGCTGGTGCGTGTTGGGGGGAGGATAAACCCCATCCCAGCTCCTTGGGAAAAGCACATTTATCCCTAAATGCCGGTGTCTTGCTCGGAGGTTTCACGCGGGTATTCGCTCGCTCCTTGCAGCGGGGATGCTGTGGGATGGTGTCGGTTCTGCTCCCCCGGGATCGCGTTTTGGGGTGCGTGGGGAGCGGCCGGGGGCTCCAGGATTGTTGGCTGGGAGAGCCCTGGCGTGCCGGAATGTGGGATGGGAGGGCTGCATCTTCCAGCCGCTGCACGGGAATGGCCGTGAGAGCTGCGTGGGGGAGAGAGATGGCAATAATCCCATCCCAGCTGAAAAACGGATTTATAAATCCTTACGGAGAGGACAGTTTATGTTCTGGAGACCCCGCCGGGATCTTTTCCACCCCTGGCGGGGTTCGGGGCGCGCTCTCCGGGCTCTGCCACATCCCCGCCGCTCCTGCTCTGCGGCTCCGGTGCCGGCAGAGGCTGCTGCTGTGCAGGGAAAGGATTCCCTGGCATCACAACATCCCCGCTCCATCCCTTCCCACCCCTTTCCGTGGCCCTGCTCGGAAAACCTTTCTCCTGCCGTGGCATGGGGTGGCAGAGGGGACTGGAGGCCGCTTTGGGACATCACCTCCCTGTCCCTGAGGGTGTTTTGGGATTGAGCGGGTCCACACTGCCGCCCAAAACAGGATCCCAGGACAAACCGCCCTTTTCATCCCAAAGTTTTTGAGGATAAAAAGGCCATGCCAGAATCCTGGGAAGGGTCCCCTGAGGGCTGTGGAGGGCGCACGGGTGCCCTGGCACAGCGCAGACCCTCCGGCCTGTCCGTGATGTTGGGGCAGCCCCGGCTGGGACGTGGGAAGGGTTAAATCCACTCCCAGTGCCTGCCCTGGAGCTCCCTTGCTGGGGCAGAGGGGAGCAGAGCAGGTTTGGGGGTGGCAGATGTGTCTGGTGGCCTCAGCATGGCGGTGTCACTTGTCCCCAGGGCTGTGCCAGCCGCCGCTGCGCGAGATGAGGGGGATTATCCACCCTCCTGCTCCCCTGAGCCAGGAATTTTTGGTCTCCAGAGGCTTTTAGCTTTTGGGAATAGAAGCATTTCAGCTGGAAAATACCTCCTGGAAGGCCACCCTCCCCCTCGTGCTTAGGCACTGGAGAGAAGAGTTTGCTTTGTCAGGTCCCCAGGGAATGTCCCGGAATTCCCAGGGAGCAGCCTCTCCCTTCTCCCGCTTTTGTTGGCATTCCAGCCCCCAATCCCTGCTCTGCCCTCAGCTGGAGAAGGTCTCACCGAGGGCAGAGCTTCTCCTGTTTGATCCCCAGGTTGGTCATTGGATATTCCCTGATGATCCTGAGTGGAAATTGCCCGGCACCACCGGGAAGGGAGCACTGGGAAAACTGGGATAAGGATCAAAGGGATCAAGGTTTGGGCTGGAAGGGACCTTAAAGTTCACCTCATTCCGAGGGCAGGGACAACTTCCAGCACTCCTGGTCACCCTGAGATGGAGCTGGGGCCAGGTTTGGACACCACCAGATCTCTGGCCACTGATTCCCCCGTGTGGGGATGGCGTGTCTGGAATTCCCTGCACAGGGAAGGAGCAGGGAAGGGAGTGGAGATGGGAATGTCACACGGGGTGACACAAACACAGTGATGTCCCCTCCGCCTTCTCTCCACCTTCCTGGCACAGGGTGCCCACAGCAGCTGCCCCTGCATCCCTGGAATGTCCAGGGGTGGCACTGGATGAGCTTTATGATCCTCTCCAAGCCATTCCATGATTCCTTTGCCTGACTGCAGGCAGTTTTCCCAGTGTCTCCAGTGCTCTCTTCCCAGTGGTGCCGGGCAATTTCACCTCCTGATTAGGGAATTAATCAAGGAAAGAGCCAATATTGACAGGGCCCCGTTGTGCTCCAGGGGCCGCTGTGCCGGGTTGGATCCGGATTCCTGCAAACCTCTTGGAGAAGCAGGGAAGTTCATTTTCTCTAATGGCACTTAATGATTTTGCAGGAGACAACCACTAAATCCTGCCTGCTAATCCCATTAGTGGTTCGGGATTGTAATTAGTGCATTAAAGAGGCAGCTTCTTCTTTTTTCCCCTCTTTTTTTCCAGCACAGCCCTGCTGGGGTGGGAGCTGTTTATTAGCCTGGATGAGATGGAAAATGCCTGGAACAGATAAAAAGTGGATTAAAATCGAGATATTTTTGGTCTCTTCTTAGCTAATTGTTATTTTATGGCCGTGGCCATGGAATTTGAGGATGGGGTTTTTTAATGTCCCACTTCTCTGGTGTCCCTCAAGTCTGAGCCCTCCGTGCTTCCTGCAGGAGGGAGCTCATCCCTGGAAGAGGATTTGGAACCTGCCCTGATCAACCCCTTCTGGTTTCAGTTTTGTCCCTGGGCTCTTGGGTTGCTTTGGATTGGGACTTCCTGTTCCTCGTGTCCTGCTCCAGCATGGAAGGAGGGGCTGGATGTGGAGAGCCGAGAGTTTGAGGACACTCCTGGGGATCCCAAGTGCTGGGTGGGACCTCCTGGAGTGATTTGGGGTGGAGATTTGGCCCCATCCTGCCTGTTGTCTGCAAGGACCCTTCTGAGACCCTCCCAGGAGAGAGGCTGGTGTCCCTCAGGCTGATTTATGGAATGGTTTGGGTGGGAAGGGACCTTCAGGACTGTCTTGTCCCACCCCTGCCATGGCAGGGACACCTCCCACTGTCCCAGGCTGCTCCAAGCCCCAATGTCCAGCCTGGCCTTGGGCACTGCCAGGGATCCAGGGGCAGCCCCAGCTGCTCTGGGCACCCTGTGCCAGGGCCTGCCCACCCTGCCAGGGAACAATTCCTGCCCAATATCCCATCCATCCCTGCCCTCTGGCAGTGGGAGCCATTCCCTGTGCCCTGTCCTTCATCCAAAGTCCCTTTATCTCCTCCCCAGCCCCAGACGGGCTCTGGGGAGCCAGGGGTGACTTTGGCAGAAGGAGAAATCTGTCTCCCCATGAGCCGTGGGTCGGGATTGATGGAATGGAGCCCTCAGGGTTCTCCTGGGCTTCTCCCCCCGGATTTTTCCACCTTGGCACAGACAGAAAATAAAACACCACCATTTATTTGTGACAGCAGCAGCAGCGACCGGGTCCCCTCCAGAGCAAGGCCACCATGTACTGCCTGATTCCCGATGACAGCTCATAAACTCCTTTGAATGTTGCGTTTCGGATCTTATCCCCAACATTTAATCCATCATTTCTGTGTGCCAAGACCTTCTGAGGCAGGGGTTAAGTTGGTTTGGGTTTTTTTTTGTTGCTCCCAGCCTCCAATTTTCCTGCAGGGAGTCTCCAGCTGTTGACCGTAACTCCGAGGTACGGAACATTACTCCTGAAAAGATCCCCTGACTTCCATAAATCCACAACCCATAAACATCTCAGGAATGGTCCTGAAACGGAAACAAAACATTGAGAGTGGCTGATAATATAATGCCCATTTAATACCTCATGAATTCCACGGGCCATTGGAATCTCTCATGGATAGTTAATGATTATCCATCAGCCAGGAGCCGGGAAAGGAACAAACTCGGAATGGGAAGTCTTAAAAACCCATTAGTTGGGGAACAAAAGTCCAGCTCGTTCAGGGGGTGTGTTAACCCTTGGAAGGGGTGTCCAGTGGATCTCTGGAGGCAGGATCTGCCCTGGGGTGGGTGGTCTTTATCCTTGGACCCATCCTTAGACCCATCCTTTGTCCTTTGACCTCTACCTAGACCCACCCATCATCCTTAGACCTGTCCTTTATCTTTAGACCTGCCCTGGAACCCATCCTTCATCTTTGGACCCCCCATTAGACCTGGCTTTGGCCCATCCTTTATCCTTTGACCTGGACTTAGACCTTTTCTTTGTACTTAGACAAATCCACCATCCTTGGACTCATCCTTGAACCCATCCTTGAACCCATCCTTGAACCCATCCTTGAACCCATCCTTGAACCCATCCTTGGACCCATCCTTGAACCCATCCTTGAACCCATCCTTGGACCCATCCTTGGACCCATCCTTCAGCTTTAGACCTGTCTTTGGACTCCTCCTGGGATCCCTCATGAGACCCATCCTTCATCCTTTGGCCCATCCTTAGACTTTTCCTTTGTATTTGGAACCATTCTTCATTTTTAGATCCATCCTTAGACCCACCCTTCATCTTTAGACCTGTTCTTGGACCCACCCTTCATCCTGGGACCCCTCCTTAGACCCATCCTTTGTCCTTTGGCCCATCCTTGGGCAGATCTTTCATTCTTTCACCCATCTTTGGACCCCTCCTTCATCTTTAGGCCTGTCCTTGGACCTGTCCTTCACCGCTGGACCCCTCATTAGACCCACCCTTCGATCCATCCTCCCTTCTTTGACCCACCCTTTGTGCTCTGACTCATCCTCAGACCCATCCTTCATCCTTGGACCCCTCATTAAACCCATCTTTCATCTTTTAACACATCCTTCTTCCTCTGACCCATCCTTTGTCCTCAGGCCTGTCCTTTGACCCATCCCTCATCCTTGGACCCCTCCTAGACCCATCCCTTGACCCACCCTTGGTCCCCTGATCCCTGTGCAGGGGAGCTGAGCCCAAGCCCTCAGCTGCTTCCCAGCTGTGGCTCCTTCTGCTGCTCTCCAGCCAGATCCACGAGCCCCATGGCTCTCGAGGAGCATCCTCTGGGAGCAGCTGGAGCTCCAGATGGGGGCTGAGCCCCGGGGACGTGCTGAGTTACAGCGTGACGCAGCTGCCGGACAGGAGAGGACATTTTTGTGGTGCACCTGGGTCAGTTTGGGCTGGAACGAGGCTCCTCCAGCTCAAGGCAGCTGGATTTTCGTTAAAATTTCCATGAATTCTCCTTACCCTGTGTTGTTGCAGTGACATTCCAGGTGTGGATGTTTTCCTGGTGGAACACCCGTGTGTTGTTGGTTCAAAGCCTCCTGAGGGTTCATTTCTTTCCCTTTTAACCTTTGGTGCCGAGGTGGTTTTTTGGTGGG